ATGCAGCCGTAACAGTGTGGCAAGAGGGAGAGACAAGGAAGCGGTCCGAGAGTCCCACACAAGACCCAGCCAAGTTCGAACCTGAGAGGGAACCAAATGGGACTTCCTCCAGTTCACCAAGAATCCGAACCCGGCGAGCTGGGAAAGAACTAAATCCCTGGCGAGCAGACACGCTGACTGGCTGGGAGCCCACACCAGCCAGTCGTCGAGGTAAGCCAGAATCCCGAACCCCTAATAGATGCAACTGGGCCATCACGACCCGGGTAGGGCGTGTGAACACTCGAGGTGCCAGATTCAAGCCAAATGGAAGGCAACGAAAACGGTAAGCTTGTCGCCCCACAACAAAACCGAGCCAGTCTCTGAACCCCGGATGAATTGGGACGTGCCAATACGCGTCCCGGAGGTCCTGAGACACCATCCAGGCACCCGGCGCCAAAAGCAGCCGGACCTGAGACAGAGTGGTCATCCGAAAAGTGGGACAAAAGACCCAGGGATTCAGACGAGACAAGTCCAGTATGAATTGCAGATCCGCACAGTCCCGTTTCGGAACTGAAAACAGGCAGGAAACCCACCTGAAAGGATGTTGTTGTTTTGACCACACCCAAGCGAACCCACTCCCGGATGACCTGACAGAGCATAGAAGAAGAGGCCTGCCCTGACCCTCACCCCACCCCGAAGGAGGAGGAGCGACCCAACGCCACTGCAGGCCAGAGAAAACGACCCGAAATGCCCACGAATCATGGGACCAGGCGAGAGGAAATAGCACGAGCCTCCCCCTATCACCCTGTCAACAGGGCAACTTGCGAGAGGGCTAATGACCCCTACGAAAGTCCGACCAACTCTCAGAGAGATCACTGCGCCGACTAGATGCCGACGGCTCCAGAGGAGGTGCCGGCCCCGAATCTGGCACTACTGGCTTACGACGACCAAAAGAACCCCGGGACGTGGCATGACCCTTCCGGGCTGGATCGTCACTTTTCCCCCAGAGAACCAACAAGTCCGACATAGGCCGGCAACTAGACCTGGTTGATACCTGGTTGATGGGGTTCTGGGACTTCAACTCCCCAAGCCCGGCCCGAGGCCAGGCTTGACTTGTGAGAGTTTGGTCCACTAGGCTGTTGCTTGGAGAGGCCCGCAGGCCCACATACCCACCACAGACGAATCCGCTTGCAGAAAATGCACCACCGCAAACTCTACAAACAGCAACGGACAAAAAGGTGAAGAATTTCTAAGAGTCAGGGTCCAAGTCGATTCCAATGAGTGGACAAGCACCGTCTGATGGCACGCAAGATGAGAAGCAAAGAACAGGGACACTGCCTCTCTCAAAATCGGCGCAAACAACTTCAACAAGGCATCCAACGACCGAGCCACCGAAGCAAACACACCAGACATAGGCCCAGATCCCAGTTCCTGCGCATCCTCGCCGAGCCATTCCGAAGACAGCTGCAGCAGAGAAAAGAAACACAAGACCGAAGCCAAATGCCCACGGGCGCGCACATCCTCGGCCGCGCAGCGGGTACCAACACCCAAGCGGGGTCAAACAGGGCCCAAGCACCCCAAGTCAACTCCTACCCATCCCCAGAACCTCGACGTCAGGACCCGGGGCCGAGCTGTCCTCCAAACCCTCGAGTCTGCCGAAAAAGCTGGGATGAAAGGGGCCTGCTGGCACAGTCCAAGGGTTCCAGCAGGAGGAACAGGCTCGAATGCCTCCACCGCTGATCCGGAAGGGGCATTCCCTGGAGTCGCCCGAGACTCACCACCAGGCAAATCCTGCCCTGACTCTGAAACCCTCAGACGTTTGGGAGCCGGAAGCAGGGGAGGGGGATCAGGATGAACCACAACAGGGGAAGGACTAGGGGGAGCAGATGAAACCAAAATCAAGGAGACTAACACCCCCAAGTCCGGGTCCATATAACCAAAGTGGGGCAACTGTGGGGCATCCGGAATAGCAACCAACCTTGCGCATTGCAGCAACCTAAACCTTGCATGCAAGGTTTAGGTTGTAGTACTTGCATGCGAAGATGCTTGCACCCTAATAACAATCTCAGTGTACTGGGTGAATTGGAGTACAAACAAGGAACACTACTCACAGGACTCCGGGTCAAAAGTGTCATTGACGCAACAAGCAGCATGGCAGAGACAAAGACGGTGAGTGTCACCCTGAGTCAAGAGGACAGAGTAACCTTTAAACTCGCACAAGGCGAGGTGGGACTCTGGGATCTCTTCCATCGGACCACTAAGCCCCCAAGGGGGTTTCCAGGGCCCTTAGGCTAACTGCTAAGGGAAGCCCAGGCAGGGTTCTGCTAACCGGTTATCCCAGAGATATCAAGCAAACAAACTAAAAGCTGAACTCCTGCGACGTTTACAAGCACGAAGACCTAGTGGAGGTCCACCAAAAACACACAAGTGGTCCTACCGCCACACCTGGCAGACCCCCGCCAGGCAAAACAAAACAAAATAAAAGAAAAACACTGCAAAAGCCCAAAGTCTCCAGGTGAACAGAACAGGTCGCTATGCGTATATCAGACAGCTGCACAGTACCTCCGCCCCTGTTAGCGACGAAACTACCTCCTACCCAAGGGAAAACTGGAGCTAGAACAACCCCAGTAGAACCCCCAAGGGCGGGCAATCACTGAGCAACAACAGAACCACGAGGAGGTAGTTCCCAAAGTGCTCAGGGAAGATAACCGTGAAGGCGCAAGGGCAGTACTTACGGGGCACCAAGGGAAGGTGGCCCTAGGTGCATGCAGCCTCAGTACTTTTGTATTACTCCTGGCTCGCACGATACCAAAATTGAACAACACCAACGCACTGCTCAAAAGATGGAGCCAGAGTCGATCGTCCATTCGCCCTCACAACAGCCTGTGAACTGAGGAGAGTTGCAGGCACGGAGGTCTGGGACCCCTCCAGGGGGGGGGGGGGTGCGCAGACTGATGTGCGGCATTTGTGGTGACGTCATACTGGTTTTCCTGGTTTTGATTGGAGAGTTCTGTTGCTAGTTCGGCTTTTGTTTTGCAATTAATTAATCAGCAGTAGTTTGTTTTGGAATTCCTACCTTTCTGGGTGCCAAACCTAGTAGATGGCAGACAAAGACTGCTTCCAATTACACAGGGGGATGTCTTTAGGCCATTGCTCCTCGTGCCTCTCTTGAGGAGGGGGGGCCAGGTTCTGGCTCTGGTCCCCGGTAAGCCTAGGACTCCTTCGAATGACTGTTGCCACAGTCTAATATATACACATCAGCCCAAGTATAGCTCTGGGAAGCCAAAGGGGTTCTCTACAGAAATGGGAATTTATTATTAATAATAACAACAAAACACAATAGTCACTAAACTAATTAGTAAGATTAATATTACTCAGTTGGGTTTTGCTTTCACCCTTACCAATTCTGACACCATTACATGAATTTACCTGAGGCTACTATCTCGAGTGATTTTAGGATGAATGTTACAGTGGCTGTGTATCATCAGCCTACACTTAAGTCATTTAATAATATAGCACATAGATTGCCAAAGAATATTACCCCATATATTTATAGCTGACAGAGGTTATTCACAACTGCCATTTTCATTATCAGATGCTTTTTAGGTACCCCAGGGATAATTCAAGATATGCAGTGGCACCATGCTCTATGTACTCAATGCGCAACCTAGGGACCGAGGTTAACTCCTCCGGTGTTATGGGGGGGAGGGGTATAAAGTGTTACCTAGAAGTGCTAATAGTTAGAATCAAGATGTATCAAAAATAGTGGGGCCCCCAAGGAACATAGGTTCCTGTTAATGCTTCAAGGTTTTAGAAACAGATCTGTTGTCTAGTAGACAATCATCTACACCACTTCAACAGGATTAATGGATACACCTCAAAAACTAACTTATTTATTAAACCCTCTACTAACCTCCCATGTACATTACTATAATAACAACACTTTACCACACTACCTTACGTTAACTACCTTGGTCCACATAGACAGGGTACAAGGTTTATACTTGGAAAAGCTGGGTAAAGTCTACTTGAAGAGAAGTACTCGAAAGGCTTGAAGCAGCCTGGGGTAGCTAAGCCCCACGTGGTACCCTAGTCACAACACAATACACTTAGGGATGCCCAAACACTGGCTAATATTACACACTACTTATAAATAAAACACACACCTAGCCAGTAACACAGTACCTTAATAATAATTAACTTATCTGTGGAATAACCCCAGCATGGGATAAGGGAAGAGAGGAGTAGGAAAAGGAGGAGACAGAGCCACACAGGAGAGGTGTTGACCCAAGCACAGTAGTTCAGAGAAGGAGGAACCAGCACTCAGTCCCCAGGCTCTCTCACATTGTTGTTGCCGGGAAGATACCTAGCTGAACGTGCAGCTACAAACAATACAAGTCTACACTGGCCTTCGTTACTAGTTACTTTAATAGTTCTATGAATAGCTGATAACTAGTTCAATATTATATTTAATCAACAACAAGCTCAGAGTCTGAATGCTCTGTGAGAAACAAGATTCATCTTACGTTTGGCAAGGGCGACGGGATTACAGCATACCCTCGGTTTAAGGAGCCATGATATAAAAGTTATTGTAATTAAATATCATTCTTACATGATCCAATTCTATGAATTAATGTATAGTAATTATTTGGAGCTCAATTTGACCTCTGGTTTCCAACTAAGGAACCCAGGGGTCGTAACACCTGGGTAGGACAAAAACTTCTAGACATGTTTCCTTCCACCTAATTCCTATGTTCACTTATCATTAAATATATACCTGGGAGTTAGGCAACTTTAAGGGTTGCATCCTGTGAAAGGTTAGTAGTTGGCCTAGGTGGACCTCAGTAGTCCTAAGCAAGGCTTCCTGTCCCCTACAAAAGGAATTAACCTTTGCATTGAAAGTTAGTTAGCTTTTCACCATTGCCTATTTCATGCACTTCAACCACAATGCATAACACATCATTAGGAACCACTTTGGTAAATTTGATATAAAATGTAACTAATGATTTCTCTTTTATCAGATAGAGGATCACACACTGATGGATTTTGCTAACACAGTTGTGTCCCATGGCACACATTCTGTCATGTCCTTGATGGCCAACCTTCATAGTATGGCTGCACCTGAAGCAGCAGAGAGAGCTATTTCTCCTTTACACTCGGACTCTGAGGTATGGAATTTTGTTTGTCTGCTTCCTATTAGAATAATACATCTATAATACAAGAGATAATGTCTGTATGCATGGATGTATATTTGTTTAGGTTAGAAGCTAGATGCTTGGGGGTAGCCTCACCCATATTTGTGGGGGGCAATGGACTGGGTTAATGACCATAAGCTCATTGAAGTGTTAACTAGCATAAATAACGGTAGTAGGTCTAAGAGACCCAACAAGCGAGAAGGAATATTCAATGAATTCAATTTCAACAATAAGAAGATCGACTGGGAAAAAATAAATGTAAACCTTGCAACCATTCAAAGGGAGACAGTCCTAAGCGACAAAACTCCCACACAGGGAATAGCTCAACTGACAGCTGAAGCATACAAGGTCTGCCTGAAGCACGTGCCTGTGAGGAGGGTCAGAAAGAGGACCACTCTAGAATGAGAATGCAGAAGACTGTACAGGAGAAGGAAAAAATAACGAAAATGCTTAGGCAGACACGACTATCACAAGCAAGGAAAATAAACCTAAACAGGGATATCGAAGAAATAGAACAAACGTTGAAGTGATCATACAAGTCTGAGGAAATTGAATTGGAACTATACAAGAGATAAAGAAAAATCCAAAATATTTTTTCACATACGCAAAATCAAAATAAAAACCTCCACCGGTATTGGAACTTTAATTACAACTGAAGGTACGTACACAGAGGACAACAAAGAAATTAGTGAAATTCTAAAAAGCCAATATGAGGCTATGTTTAGCACACCAATAAACAACATGAAAGTTAATGACCCAGACAGCTTTTTATGAATGACATTCAAGCTGCAGATAATATAACGGATATTACCACAAACTCGGAAGACTTTGAAAGAGAAATTGACAATATGCCCATGCACCCAGCTCCTGGGCCTGACTCATGGAATTCAATATTCATAAAGAAATGTAAAGTACCAGTAGCGCGAGCACTCAGCGTAACATGGAGAAAGAGCCTGGATACAGGGGAGATACCAGCAGCACTTAAATCTGCAGATATAACTCCTTTGCACAAAGGGGGAGTAAAGCCTTGGCAAAAAATTATAGACCAGTTGCACTAACATCACACATAATAAAAGTTTTTGAAAGAGTAATTAGGAATCAAATTTCTAGTTTTATGGAAAATAATGAGTTGCACAACCCAGGACAACATGTATTTAGAGCTGGAAGATCCTGTCTGTCACAATTAATCATCCACTATGACAAAATCACAGAAGCTCTAGAAGAAATGCAAAATGCAGATGTAGTATACATAGACTTTGCAAAGGCATTCGACAAATGTGATTACGGAGTGATTGCACACAAAATGAGGTCAGTGGGAATAACTGGTAAAGTAGGACGCTGGATACTCAATTTCCTGTCGAACAGAACACAAAGAGTAACAGTCAATAAAATCAAATCAAGTCCAAGCGCAGTTAAAAGCTGCGCAAGGTCTGTACCTCAAGGTACAGTCCTTGCACCACTGCTGTTCCTTATCCTCATATCAGATATAGATAAAAATACAAGTCACAATTTCGTGTCATCCTTTGCAGATGACACAAAAATCAGCATGAAAATTACCTCTGCTGAAGACATGGAAAAATTACAAGCAGATATCAACAAAGTTTTCAATTGGGCAGCAGAAAATAACATGATGTTTAACAGTGATATATTCCAGGTACTCAAGTACAGCAAAAATGAGGACCTGAAACATAATACAGGGCACAAAACACAATCGAATCTGCCCATAATAGGTAAACAGCATGTCAAGGATTTGGGAATAATGATGTCCGACGATCTAACGTTTAGGGAGCATAACCAAGCAAATATTGCGTCAGCCAGAAAAATGATAGGATGGATTACGAGAACTTTCAAATCCAGGTATCACATCACAATGGTTGTACTCTTCAAGTCACTTGTGTTGTCCCATCTCGAGTACTGCTCAGTACTCACTTCCCCCTTCAGAGCAGGAGAGATTGCTGAAATAGAGGGCATACTGAGAACATATATGGCACGCATAGACATGATAAAGTACCTAAATTATTGGAATTATTTGGAATCAAAGCTCTCCAAATGTACTCACTAGAAAGGAGACGAAAGAGATACCAAATAATATACACATGGAAAATACTGGAAGGCCAGGTCCCTAATCTACACAGTAAAATAACAACATACTGGAGTAAACGATGTGGAAAAAAATGCAGAACAGAACCAGTGAAGAGCAGAGGTGCCATAGGCACAATCAGAGAACGCTGTATAAACATCAGAGGTTCACGGTTGTTCAACGTCCTCCCAGCGAGCATAAGAAATATTGCCGGAACAACCGTGGACATCTTCAAGAGAAAATTAGACTGTTTTCTAAAAGAAGTTCCAGACCAACCGGGCTGTGGTGGGTATGTGGGCCTGCGGGCCGCTCCAAGCAACAGCCTGGTGGACCAAACTCTCACAAGTCAAGCCTGGCCTCGGGCCGGGCTTGGGGAGTAGAAGAACTCCCAGAACCCCATCAAGCAGGTATCAAGCAGGGGTATGGGACGGATATAGGTTGGTCAGAGTAGGTCTAAGTTAAATGCTTCAAGAAATATAGCACGAAACCCAACACCCCCTGAGTGGTTTTCATTAAATCTGATATGGAAACAGGTTGACATTAATTCAAATTCAAATTTTTATTCAGGTAAAAGTACATTCATAGAAGATGAGTTACAAACATAATGTTGGATTTATAGATACAGCTAGTACATATAATACCTAAAGCTACTAATATGCATAGCGTTTTGGGCAAGGTGTGGGGAAAAACAACAACTTTTAGACTAAAATTTAATAGTAATTGAGATTAAAGTATAAATTGTGTTGAAAAAAGAAATAAAAAAAGGGGGAGGGGAACATGGCAGAAATCAGCAATTTTACAAGTTGGTAAACAAAGAGCATTGTTTAAAATAGCAAGACATGGGTTGGCATTTAGGGGGTAAGGTAGGTTACGTAGAGTTTATTAGGTAGGCATGTGTTGTCCTTGAGTAATTACCTAAGTGTAGTTACAGGATGAGAGCTACGCTCGTGGTGTCCCGTCTTCCCAGCACTCTTTGTCATATAACGCTTTGAAACTACTGACGGTTTTGGCCTCCACCACCTTCTCACATAATTCATTCCAACCAGGTCTAACATTCTGTTTGGAAAAGTGAATTTTCTTATGTTTCTTTGGCATCTTTGTTTAGTTAGTTTAAATCTATAACTTCTTGTTCTTGAAGTTCCTGGTCTCAGGAAATCTTCCCTATCAATTTTATCAATTCCTGTTACTATTTTGTACATAGTGATCATATCTCCTCTTTTCTTCCATCTTTTAGTTTTGGCATATTTAATGCCTCTAACCTCTTCTCGTAGCTCTTGCCCTTCAGTTTTGGGAGCCACTTAGTAGCATGTCTTTGCACCTATTCCAGTTTGTTGATGTGCTTCTTAAGATATGGGCACCACACAACCGCTGCATATTCTAGCTTTGGCCTAACAAAAGTCGTGAACAATTTCTTTAGAATTTTTCCATCCATGTATTTAAAAGCAATTCTGAAGTTAGAAAGCGTGGCATAGGCTCCTTGCACAACGTTCTTTATGGGTTCCTCAGGTGATAGTTTCTGTCAAGAACCACCCCTAGATATCTTTCTTTATCAGATGTCTTGAAAGATTCTCCACGTAACTTATAGGTTGTGTGGGGTCGATGTTCTCCAATTCCACATTCCATAACATGGCTTTATTCACATTAAATTCCATTTGCCAAATGGTGCTCCATATACTTATTTTGTTCAGGTCTTCTTGAAGGGTATGACAATCATCTATGTTTCTTATCTTCCCCGTTAACGTCCCTATTGCATCATCAGCAAACATGTTCATATAATTCTGTATTCCGTCTGATAGATTGTTTATGTAGACAATGAAAATTTCCAGTGCAAGAACTGAACCCTGTGGTACTCACTTGTGATATTTCTCCAGTCCGATACATTTCCTTTGATTAGTCCCCTCATTTTTCTATCAGTTAGAAAATTTTTCATCCATGTTAGAAGCTTACCTGTCACCTCCTCCAATATGTTCCAGTTCCAAGAACAACCTCTTATGCGGAACTCTGTTGAAAGTCTTTTTTAGGTCCAGATAGATGCAGTCAACCCAGAAATCTCTTTCCAATAAAATCTCTGTGGCTCGATCATAGAAACTGAGTAAATTTGTTACACAGGATCTTCCTGATCAAAATCCATACAGACTTTCTGATATTATATTGTTTTTCCTCCAGGTGTTCTACCCATTTAGTTTTAATTATTTTTTCCAATATTTTGACTATTACACTTGTCAATGATACAGGTCTATAATTGAGGGGTCTTTCCTGCTGCCACTTTTGTAGATTGGTACTATGTTAGCCTTTTTCCACACGTCAACTACATCTCCTGTAAACAGGGATGCCTGAAAAATCAGTTGAAGTGGAATGCTGAGCTGAGGTGCACATTCTCTCAGAACCCATGGTGAAACGCAACCTGGACCAACTGCTTTGTTCTTACTTAGCTCCTTGAGCATTTTTTAACTTACAATACAATACAATACAATACAATTTTACAATACAATTTTATTTAGGTAAGGTACATACATACAATAAATATTTACAAGGATTGTTTAACTTATAGGTATAGCTAGTACATACAATGCCTAAAGCCACTATTACGCAAAGCGTTTCAGGCATGAACTTCGTCTCTAGACACCTCTATGTGCTCTATGTTGTTCTCTGGAAAGTCATCATTGCCTGATGTTATAATGGAAGGGGGCTTCCCTTCCAAACAGTAACACCTCTCCTCCTTCCCCCTCTCCTCACCGTCATACATACACCAACAAGCCATTGATACAGGTAAGCTATAACTTGTACATACTATAGTACACAATATGTGTGTGTATTATGTATGAAATGTATTTTGAAGTTAATATTTTTTTGAGTGTGAATGGATTAATTCAATTCACATAATTTCTTATGA